TCGTGGTATGAAATGCTGACAAAGATGAGAGTTTCGCACGTACATACGGGGACATTTTCCCTCAGACATTCGTCTCGATGAGATAATTACATATGTGATGTCAAAATGAATTTCTTAATATGCATTTTGAGTTAAATATCACTGAGTTGCGTGCCTATGCTTTCCGGACACGAGAAGAATAAATAGCATTTCTAAGTACAGCATCGCACATCTAGGCTAAGAGTCTTCTGCTTCATCGAAAGGAAATTTTGAAACAGGAATCTGTCGTTTCCTTGATTTCTAGTTCTGATAGACTTATGCCATTGGCATTGTCAATAAATGTCTTGTTATTTAGAAACATCATCAATATTGCAAGGTCTTTGTGACGTGTCTCGGTAAGCTCTTCGATTAACTGAGCATCGTATGAAAACAAGTCAGCCAACAGAGGGGCACGGCTAATTCCCACAGGTATGTCAATAGTCTGCTGGAAGATCATACCACCAAACTCAACGAGGATATTGTCACTCAGAAACTCTATCATTATAATTTCGTCCTCCGTATATTTCCTGATTTTTTTAAAATTGGAGGTTTTTTTTTTTTTTTTTACCAAAGATGTTTCAGTATAGTTCACAACCATATATTTCTACCATCGTTCGTTTTTTTCTGAAAGAACTCTCATAGCAAAAAACGAATGCGTTCTTTCACTCATTTAAATGTATTTTGATCTTGCCTTTGTACTGCTGTTAATATATGCCTTAAGCTTTCGAAGCCGTATTTCGATGTAAATGTAAAATTTCTCCTATTTAGACCAATGGTCACGTGGATCATACTATATGTAGTAGTCACACAAGTTAATAATGGTCGCATCTTTGGATAAAGTGTTAGAATTAATTAGTTTTGATAACATTTTCAAAGTGATGTTGTAGACAAACTAGAATTAAGATATATCACTGTCTTTAGTAGAAGTTGGATTTTAAAGCGGAACATTTGTCAATAAAGAACATACCGTTTTTAACATAAGGATTAGTGTAATCCATTGTGAAGAGGCTGTCAAACGTTTGGGAGTTACCATATAGATAGATACCTGGTGTACTTGGGTGCCTCGGAATGTATCTTACCTTAGAGGGGTTACACTGACTTTAATCATACCTTCATCCTTATTTCAATTTCTGTCCTTTGGTATGACTTTTTATCCCCGAAACCAAACTCACTGAAGATTGCAAAATTTTAGAGCGTTAAAATTTGTACGTCAAGAATTAACCTTAAGCTAAGAAACACTTCTTGAAGGTTTTTTTTTTTATCCCTCCATATCCATAGATCTATATTAGTAACCAAAGAAACTTTTAAGGTTTTAAATGTAAGCAGTCCATAATTAAATAAGGAACATTTTTGACTAAGCTGCTAGTACTACATGGGGTGCGTTGTCTGACCGTAAATACGGTAGTGTTGACTAAGCTGCTAGTACTACATGGGGTGCGTGGCCTGACTGTAAATACGGTAGTGTTGACTAAGCTGCTAGTACTAATACGGTAGTGTTGACTAAGCTGCTAGTACTACATGGGGTGCGTTGCCTGACTGTAAATACGGTAGTGTTGACTAAGCTGCTAGTACTACATGGGGTGCGTTGTCTGACCGTAAATACGGAACAGTTTTGACTAAGCTGCTAGTACTACATGCGGTGCGTTGTTTGACCGTAAATACGGAACAGTATTGACTAAGCTGCTAGTGCTACATGGGGTGCGCTGCCTGACTGTAAATACGGAACAGTTTTGACTAAGCTGCTAGTACTACATGGGGTGCGTTGTCTGACCGTAAATACGGAACAGTATTGACTAAGCTGCTAGTACTACATGGGGTGCGTTATCTGACCATGGACAGCTACCTCTTTTAATATTAAACAAGAGGCCCAAGGGGCCTTAACGGTCACCTGAGGATTATATGTCAATAATCTGGGGATTTTAAAATGTTGCAAAAATGTAACAAAACTTGTGCAGGACCATGTGTAAAACATCTATACCAAGTTTGAACATGACCCACCCAATGGTTCTTGAGAGGAAGTCCATAATGTCTTAGCCAAACAGAGGCCAGGGTGGCCATCTTGGATTTTGAATCGCCCAAAAAAGTTAAAACACTTGCCAGGACCTTGTGTAGAACATTCGTATCAGGTTTCCCCTTTTCCTCCTCCTGGGGCCCCTATTGGGGCCGCGCCCTTTTTCTTCGCAAACTTGAAGCGGCTTCCCATGGGGATAATTTCATATGTCCTTCACTAAGGGATGCTTTCTACCAAATTTGGTTGAAATCGGCCAAAGTTGAATTTTTGACCCTTTTGAGCGCCCCCTAGTGGGGCCGTTTTGACCCGATTTTTTTTCATTCGCAAACTTTGTAGACCTTGCCATAAGGACCCTAAATATCAAATATGAATTTAATCTGACTGTTGGTTCATGAGAAGAAGATTTTTAAAGATTTACCTATTTTACCCCCTTTTTCCCCCTCCTGGGATCACGCCTTTTTTCATCGCAAACTTGAAGCGGCTTCCCATGGGGTTGCTTTGTGCCAAGTTTGGTCAAAATCCATTCAGTGGTTCTTGAGAAGAAGTCGAATATGTGAAAAGTTAACGACGCACAACGCACGACGACAGACAACTCATGATGGCAATAAGTCACCATGACCCTTCGGCTCAGGCGACCTGAAAACATACTCGTATCATATTGGTAACAAATGTAGATGTTCTATGTGCCAATAGAACATTTGTTTTTGGTCATTACACCTCAAGTTGTTTAATCTGACGTGTATCTTAAGTACTATGGCTTTTCAATTAAATGTAACGACAGGGTCACATCATGGGGCTTCTGTAAATCCGAGATATGATACTGGTGTGATTATTCATCATATCTCTGATGCCATGCTCTGTTATGGTATGCAAATGCTCATTTAATACAGTTTAACCATATGACTGTGATATTATTATAAACTGCATTGTAATTCTGTTAAATAGTTCTGAATTTATTCATTGGATTTAACATACATGTACATTTATTGGTGTGATTCGATTCTGTAAATTGTTTTTACTAATTTCATTTGTTATACAGTCGGTTGTAAAGGCCTTATAAGGATTGTGTTGACATGTTTATAAAATGTACAGACTATAGATGAAAATTACTTTATTTGACTTGACTATTGTAAAATTTCTCCTACTGAATCATCTTGTTAATTAAAAAAAATATTGTGTTTTTCTTTTATTTCTTCGATACGATAAACCATTTAAGTAAATGCAATGCTAAAAAATGTCCACAAAACAGTGAAATGAGTAACATGCTACTTTTTTCTAAATTTTATTTTGCTGCACGTGTCAATTAAAGCAAAGTATCTTTTTGTATTGCGAACGACATCTTTTCGCCTTCTGAATTATCGATTTTAAAACCTGTGTAATTTTTCAATATTGATTTAATTTTACTACCTAACGTGACAAATTGAAAAAATTACACAGGTTTTTAATAATAGTACTTTTAATTTTTTTTTCTTTTTGCATTTTTAACTCGCCCTATCGATTTCCATAGTCAGGCCGCTAGAACCGAGCTAACAAGTCCCAGAGGAAAATACAGCTGCATGATATAGTCTAATTATATATACATATAATGTACGTGTGCGTGTTTGTGTCTAGCACAAAATCTTTTCAGAGACAAAATAAAAAGTGTGTGTGCTCATAAAAACAATGGCACAAGTAACAACTTGCGGAGTAGTCATAGTCCTCTCTCTTAGTCATTAAAAGATGACGGCTCGACATTGCTATATCAAAAATATTTATATAGTGCACAAACCATTCCTAGTATACATCGGATTTCACGGTAAATGACGTTTTTCTACCGTTTCTCTTTACAACCCAATGGACGTTTTCCCGCAAATTACAGAGGCAGGTGTTGAGTAGTTATGACATTGACTAGTGAAAATCTACATTATATATATACAAAATAATTTTCACCTTTAGATAAGACGTGGTTATCACCTTGACAACAGAAAAGCAATATTCAGTAAACCCTTTTCATGAAGTTTTGTCTCATTATTGTTAAAGCATTGTTTAAAGTGCGAAATTTAATTTTCATTTATACCAAGCCTTGCCTTTGCAAATAATTACTTAGAATAAATCTGGTTAAAAAATATTATTTCTTTAGTTTACAAGTCTGGTAAGAAATAAAGAAAAAACTGAAGCCTAAATTGCTAATTTAGCTATTCAGTCATTTAACAAAAGAATTTCAAATTTCCCTGTTTGGTTCCGGCTTTGTTGTCTAACACAAGTCAGATTCAGTATTCATAAAAATTGCTCCAGACTAAACTTGGACACTATCCTTGATTGGAGCAAGGGATTTTTATGAACTTACATTTCCCCAATTGGTTCACTCCTCCAGCCATAAGGGGTCAGGATCCACGGTTCATACAGAATTAATTATGAGTTTAGATTTTAAATAATCTTCATGTCATCTTGGCCAACATACAGCTGTATAAGGGGAGATAATTCAGATCCAAATGTTTCAGGACTGGTCTTTACCACAATGCTTTAAACAGAAAAGTTATTCTGACAATGTTGTTTATCAATGTATGCATGTTTTGACATATTTCACCATATGACCTTGAAAGTGGATCAAGGTTATACCTTTAAGTTTACAGCAATTGACTACAGCCACTAATGGCAAAGTATGAGGTTTCCTAGTTAATAATTGAAGTTTATTAAAAGAAATAAATTTCATATGTTAATTATTGCCCTAACATTTTTTCTCTCTCTCTCTTTCTTCATCATGAAGTCAGTCAGGGGTATAATTACTGTGACTCGTTTTGTATAAATTCTACTTTCAGTCTTTCACCTGATTGCCATCATATGTTTCTGATTAATAATAATCAGGAAATTACACAGGTCAATTCACCATCCTGTCACATGTCAGTAATTTTGTATCTGAAATGAAGTAGAGGTCAAAATGACAGCTAGACCCCTTAAGTAGGAAGTGCTGATGGATTAAAGAAAAACAAAATTTGCTGTTGCTTTATATGTAGTATATTTACTCCAGTAGAATGAAGGGTAATGATACTGGACAACATGTGATGACAAACGTCATGGTAACAAACATACAACAGTCAATGTTATAACCCTCTAAGACTGTAAAAAGCAATATAGTACATCAGGATGATAAGTGTGTACAGTTTGTGTACACATAAAGCCACATTATTAACAGAACACAGCCACCCCAGTGTGTGTGTGGCAACACAGGAGGCCCAAGAACTTGGGTCATAATATATGCGACTAAGGCATTCTGGTTACAACATGTGACCCCAGAAGTCTGTCACAACCCATGTGACCCATGAATTCAGATTCTACATGTAACCCGAAAATTCAACTTGGAAACATGTGACTACATAAATTTAGTTCATAACACATGAATTTTGGTAATACATGTGAACCGATTAAATTTTCATATCTCATGTGACCCCATGATTTCAGTTCACATCTGTCCAGTATTTCAGGCAGTTTACAGCACTGGAATCTTAAGGCTTAAAAATACAATCCAAACCTGTGTGACAAAGGGTTTCAAATAACAACATAGGTCATTTCTGTAAACTTACTACACCTTACATAAGTTGAAAGAACCCATACACCAGTGAAAAATGAAACCCTTTCAAAATTCAATTTATATTCATGGAAATCCAGAAAACACAACACACTTTTTGTTGTAATATACAGAATAACATCATCAGCTTTAAGATCTAATTGTAAAAACTTGACCAAACAACAACAATAAGCATTTAGCACCCTTCTCAAAATTCTAAGAAATGTGCTTAGCCTAGATTTATTAGAAACACATGTTTTAACACAATGGAATGTAACTGTGGGGAGTCATTCTTGCACCAATGTACGATTAGGCTATTTAAATAAAACAAGAAATACTGTTTCTCTCAATTTTAAGTATATCTGACATCTTTCCTATAATCTGTCTTGATAGTGTTGAAAGCTGTAAATTCCAGAGGTAAAATGTAATACTTTACATAAAGATAATTTCAGATCTGTATTAACCAAATACTGGAAATCAAAGTGGTTACATAGATAATACCTCATGTCAACAAAACCACTGGTTCCTGATTAAAAATTTCATTATGAATCAGATGAAAACAAAATCTTCAATAAAATTATTGTTAGTTTTTTTTCTATGCCTCTATGTATTTGATTTATATCTAGTTCTCTTACATATCATACGTAAGACGATGTTCAGAAGCATCATTAGATTAAAACCACTTGTCCGTCTAATCTCCAAATTATTTTACCTGTTTTATACAACATGATTGAATGTTACGTCCGTCTCACTTATACTTAGATATAATGTCTGAAGGATGGAATATATTAATCCTTAATCAACTTAATTAAAACTAACATGAACACATACTGCTTTTATTTTACCGAGTTGTAATACTGTATTCACAAAAGGTCAATTATTATCAATAATTCGTTTAGAAAATAGGATACCCTCAGTGACATTTGTGAAACAAGGGTCTGATCAATAAAACTCACAACAAACATTTAAGGACCGTTAGTATCTTACAAATCTATGCATCAAGCCTAGAACTGAGATAGTGATCACATAAACCTGAAGGGTGATTAACATCCAAGTAGTATTGAGGTTACCTTCATAACCCTGAAGGGAAAGTAACGCAATAATAATCAATTAAACCTGGTTGACAACCCCATGACCTTCATCCAGACCAGAAGGGGAACACAATGGTACTTAAAGCCACAGGTATTATACGATATGATCCAATGGCAACACATAGCTCATGGGTCACACCACGACACTGAAGTGTTGATTAAAAAGGCAACACCATGGCAACTTTTTGACTAAAGGGTCACACTACAACATATAAAAAGCAATACTAGGGTAATCTTTAACCAAAGGGCAACACCATGGCAACTTTACAACCAAAAGGGCAACACCATGGCAACTTCGATCAAGAGTCACACCATAACATTGTGATCCCAAGCTTACAATGTGGTAACCTTTTGGCCAAAGAGTAACACTATGGCAACCTTGTTGCCCCTAAAAAGTCATAATAACCTTGAAATTTGAGGATAACTGCGTGAAATTTGATTTCATCAGCTGAAAGGAAGCCATACAAACTTACAATACAAAGGTAGAATTGTGTAAAAACCTGTACCATGTGTTCATTTAACCTTGAGGGTTTTCCATAAAAGTACTGTCGTTAGAGAGTAAACGGGTCATTACCTTATATGACAAGCTAAGACCACATTAAGGATGTACACAGTGGCAAATACGCTGTTTATCAGTAAACACCCACAATTACTACAGCTACCATGCATACACAGGTTGACATTCTCTAACCATGTAAACATGTCAACACATTACCTGGAGTGTAATTACTGATCCTTAACAATTAAGAATAACATAATGATATAAAATCTGCTAGATCATATCTTATACAAACACACTTTGTTCATCCTTGAAAATACTGCAATATGTAGGAATAAAATCTCTTATGCAAAAATATCTATAACAAAAATGATGCAGTACAGATACAATGTGTAAACATGAAGCACAATCCAGATTGATACATTAAAGAAATTGTTCAATCTCCTGTTTGGCAATACCTTTACCACAAATAGGTTTACCTTAAGCACTTCAGTATTTAGCATTAAAAAGTGCTAACCCATTCTAGCACCAGAGACATCACCTGTGATTGAACACCTGCATCACTGTGACCATGACAACAAACCCACATCCTAACAGTGAGCTACCCAGATATCACCATGACAATACGTCCACATCCTTCCAGAGGGAACTACCAACATTCCACCAGAGGGAGCTACCCATGTATCACTGTGATATGGAGCACAAAACCTGCCAGAGTGAACTATCCATATATCACTGTGACAATAAGTGCACTTCCTGCCAGAGTGAACTACCCACATACCATGTGACAACAGGCCCCCACATCCTATCAGAAGGAGCTACCCATGTATCACTGTGACAATAAGCACACTTCCTGCCAGAGTGAACTATCCACATACCATGTGACAACAGGCCCCCACATCCTACCAGAAGGAGCTACCCATGTATCACTGTGACAATAAGCCCACATCCTGCCAGAGAGAACTACCCACATACCACTAAGACAACAGGTCCACAACCTGTCAAAGGGAGCTAACCACATATCTCTGTGACAATAAGCCCATATCCTGTTAAAGGGAAATTCTAATATATCACCGAGACAACAATGCCACATCCTGCTGGAGTAATCTACCTATATCTGCTGGTACAAATCTCTAGAGTGTGGCTCTTCATCATCAACAATTAAGGCAAATTGGAATCAAGTATATTAGTAAATGGTTACAGACCTACATTCCATTTATACAGAAATACTGATAAAATGAAAATACTTTGTATAGGCCACTCTGATCAGCATACTATTAAAAGAAGTAACAATAACACTCAGCAGGAAACATGCTGGTTGGGGAGGACAACCTGTGCTCCCTCCAACTATTTACATAAACATCTACTTACTGAGAGAACGCATTAAAATTCTTTTGTGAGCTAATCCTAATAGAAGTGCAAATGAAATATCTAAAAATTTTCTCTATGATATTTACACGCACCAAGGACTCGAGCAGAGTATTGGGCATGTACAAACTGGTGGCTGTGTTCATTTCTGTCCAGCTGACTAAACTGACTACTCAGGATTGAGATAGGTAATGGGATGAAACCATACAGAATACTGATGACATGCCAGTAATGAGGAGACATTGATGGATTATCAGAAATGAAGACATATCAAAATCAAGCACACAATTTGACATATATGAACAATATTTTTATGAATGCAAAAAATCAATGATATTGAAGACCGGGTACTTCTGTACGTACGAGTACTAAATGTCACTTCTTATAAGTACCCCCTAGTTACAACTTGTCAATCAACGACATTCTCTCTCACTCTCTATTCATACACCGATACATACGCTCAACTCTCTTTTTATAAAGTTTTTTGAAAGTTTTTATAAACAGTACAGGGTTATTTTATGACTAGACCATTGAATTTGTCAAAATGCCACTTACGGTCATTTGTAGATGATGTATTGACTACACAGGCAAAAAACATTGATAAGAAGTGGTTTAAAATATGAACATAGCTGCATCACAGCATTTAATGATGACACCAACAAACGTTTCTCTCTTTCCACCCAATAATAGCAAACTATACATATAAATAAATTCTGCAACAAATAATAAAGATAGATATTTTAAGGTTTGAAATGAGTAACAATAGCTCTTCACACATTGTATCACCATAGTCTCCTCTTAGGGATTATGGCCTCACTATCGTACTGAGTAGTAAACATGGAGTTTGCATCCTTTTGAATAGGATCATTTTTATTAGGTAAAACACAACCCTTTCACCTAGCAAGCAATGCAGATGAAAAGGCATGTTTTCCCTCACTGGAGTCTCCACAAAACTCCAGTTCATGCTGTTTGAGGACATTAGGTTTATTCTACTGATTGTCAAACCTAAAGGAGGACACATCAAAGTTACTGTAGATAATTTATATATCACTAGGTATTGATTTTAACATTTCTGGAAGTATTCATTACCAAATCAGTATCGCTTGAACACAAAAGTCCTTTATAATGCAGGAAATGCACCAAAATTGATTTACAATCACAGATAGAGATAAGGTCATTGACCAAACGTGTGATCGGAAAAGTTTGAATATTGGCGAAATGTAAATGATCTACAGTATACTAAACATTTAAAATCACAGACAATATAAATTTAAAATCTTCATATAAATCTTCAAAATATCAACTGTAAATTTGCTGCCAAACTAAAGTTCCAGTTGAGTAGCAGTAGACTATGGCTTCATCATTGTAGAGTTACTATTGCACCACAAAACCAATGCTCAACTTTTAACTTCAAACATTGGTTTGCTTGCAGATAACCAATAAAACATTTAAAATATTTTTCATGGGGAATTATACAGGTAATAAAATATACACGCTTGTTTACCTTACTCATTAGAAGAAAAAAAATACATCTCATGCCTTGAAGGGTATGTACTGTAAATTGGTATATTTCAAAGTTCATTATGTTTTGGTTTATATAGTGTCTAATTTGAAAGTAATGAAATTAAACACAACTTCTAACGAATCAGAGTGAAACCAATGAATATGCTGTACAGATTGTTTTTTCAACTAAAAATTGACATAAGTATGATTGAAAACCAAGATGTCCATGACTAAATAAAAAAGGTCAAATTATGCCAACACTGAAATATCCTTATTTAAAAGTTTGAATCAACTGAAAATTCTGTTTAAAAACCAAAAGGACCTGTGATTACATCAATAAACAATTGAACCTTAAAAATTGCATCTAATTAAAGTACAGGGGATCAAATGTTTCAATACGATTCTTGGGTACCTACTATTATTAAATTTAATTATATAATAATTGACAATATATTAATAATTGACAATTTTTCATAAGTGATCTATAAGTATATTTTGATTAGATCTCAAAAGTAAATCTATAACACTTTAATGTGGAGCAGTGGACAGAGCAGTGTGATTATATATAAATTCTCTCAGTAACAGTAAACAAACATTTTCTGTGATGAAAAATAAATAACAAGCACTTTTTTAATAACAATAGTCCCCGCATCTATCATTGACTTTTGATTACCCATTTGATGACCTGAACTCATCACTATGATGACAGATAATGCTATTTTGTTCTAGAAAGCAAACCTTTAAGCATTTTATATCTTCCAGTTAATCTACGAGCTTTGCTCTCAATATATCTATCATCTATGCATCTCATGAACACCTTGAAGTCTTGCAAAAAGTCTTTTGCTTATTCCAACATTTCAATAATGATCCTATCGTCTTTCAGGGTATTTAAACCAGTTTTTCCCCCTGGGTTTCTTGAGCCTAAATCAAATTTATTAAACAATTTCCTTCAACAGAGATTATTGTCAATTTTACAGAAATTTACATTGATATTGAAAACAAAACTCTGACTCCCTGTGAAACACATTGCAGCAGAAAACTTTAAACTCTCTTTAAATTACTTTTGTAGGATCTGTGAGTTCCTTTTTATGCATGCTACAGACTTGTGTCAGGACATTGAAACTTTGACATCAAAGGGAAAATAGGAGTAACTGTGCACAGCAAAACTTACTTCGCCTTAGTTTGATTTTTGTCCCTTTTGCTAATTTGCAATTAGGACAAACAAAATTGAAATAAACTTTTTATTATGTATTTTTTAGTAAATTTAACTATGGGAAAAAATTCTAATGTGAAGGTTGAAATAATCACTGGCAAATTTTTTCCTATATGCAGTAACCAGTATTGAATGTGTCAGCATACTGTAAACACAAAAAGTTAACTGCTCTGCAAGTGTCGGGGATAGTTCTTTTTTCTACAGGTATGTTTAAACAGCACACACAGAAATCACTGAGACAGTAACGGTACTACAAATTCTGATAGACTTCTCCTTATTTATGTCAAACATCTTTTTGTATGGCAGGAACAACACTAGTTTTAATACCAGTTAAATGTAGAAGGGGAATATCAAATAAATAGCAAAATTCTGGCATAGGAATAAAACAATATGTATATCTTTGTGTAAACCAACAGAAATGTGTGTAAAATAGGCTCTACAACAGCTATAGCAGACTTCTCGAAAATATAATTTCTACATATCACATTCTTGTGAGCGAACTCAATATTTTCCTCTCTCTCAATGACACATGTTCTTTATATTAAGTAATCAATTAAGGAATGCCAATGAATGCAAGGGGAACAGTTACATGATGTCACCAGTACAAAAATACTGTGTTTAAGAAGCAAAGTCACTACAAAATTCTTTTGAATGTTATACACTTAGTGAATCATTCTAAATCTTAGTTCCAGCTAAGTATTTAATACTATCATTTGGTTGCTTTATAGCAAGTAGGCATGGCCGCAAACATGACGGACAAGGGAAGGGGGTATTACACAAGTCCTGGGTAAGTGTAAATATGTTGATAGACATAACCAATACATTTTTTTTTTAAAGATTTGTAAGATGTTAAAAACAGAATAGACACAAATGTTAAGTGCAGGTAGAAGTGCTGGAGTGAGTCCTATAATCTGTCAAGTTTAAAGCTTTCCTCCGTGGCTGGGTCCGTCAACATGCTGGGGTCAGTCAACATCTGTAATCCATCCAAGTCCAAAGGATCAAGGCCTACTTTGAGAGCCTCGTCTGAAGTAAAGAATTCTGTATCAAAGCCATCTGGCATACCAGTGATGGCATTACCAAGCTCCTTAGCAAAGTCCTGTTTCGCCATCAAATTATCGTCAACACCTGCAGCAAAATCAAGCCTCATTAGAAACATACATTTTAATAAGCACTTGCATGTGGACAAATTCATTAAATGATTACTCAAAGCATGCAGGTAAAGAGGCAATATTTTCATTAACTCTATAAACATCTTTATTCCTTGCCGAAATGTTTTATAAGTAACTGCTACAGCTAATGTATTTAAAAAGTTATCACTAGCCATAACCATCTACGAAAACCTTAAAGTAGTATTCCTTTTTTTCCAATTTTATAAAAATCTTAATGTCAAAGGGATGTAATTTTTTCTGTTTATCAGGAAATTTTTTTTTTTTTGTAAATCAGAATTATATGCTTGGTGAGAAGGTATTCATTGTTGTGTCATTAATTTGTTTTCTCATGTTACTCTCATAAATAAATGATATCACTTTCAATACAAGCTCACAAGAGCAGATAACTATGCATTAGAAAGAAGATGGCATATGTTACTGGCTCTTGAGCAGAGTTACATCATACCAATACCATATTATAGTGTTCTTATTCAATCCTTGAAAATACCACAAAATATGTCAGTTCCAAAGTAAAGGCAAAGATTCATCAACGGGAAATACTGGATACCAGTAACATTTCACTGAATTCACTTCTTATGATACAAGTTAAGTTGATGTTTCAGGCTATAGCTAAATTAGGTACTGTATTTTCTAATTCAAATACCAAACAGTTGGTAATATTCACAGGGGACTTCATTTCATCTTTTACACCATCATTTAAATAGTGCAAACTTTTAAAACCTTTTGCATATTCATAGTGTGAAAAATAATATTTGTGTATTGATATAGTCAAAACATATAATGTGAAGGTCTACTACTATGCTTTTAATTGTTTAATATATTAAGGACAGTAACAACACAGTTACAAGTGCATTTACATATTTAGGATATCTGATCTGAGAAAAACTATCGACAATGTCAACAAACTGTGATTTTGAGACACAAGACAACAACCAAGCAATAATTCTTTTCCTAACTAGCCAATATTCCCTGTAGGTCCCTCATACTGTAAACAGACATTGAAATTATTGCTCTGAGATAGCACTGCATAAACCTCAGTTTCACCATGCTGTTTATATGGTATTTATTGCAGATGTGTTAATATATCAAAGTCGCTAATTTGCCAAAATGGAATAATGCTAAGATTTAATCTCATCAAATAAAGTTTATTTATAGCATTCTGTTAATGCCACCAGGTGACCACCAAAATTGGAAAAATAATCACTTATGGTTTTGACTCTTCGACTTAAAAGATAGGTGAGTAAGCAAGTTTAGTAAATAGAGAAATGTAATGGTAGGGAAACTTTAAGAATTTTAACTATGATGTCCCCAGAAACACTCGTAAAATTTCAAAATTATAATTGGAAGTCTAGAGCTTTTTTTGCCATCAATCTGGGCCTTTTTTAATATTTTGGGAAGAAATTGACAAATTAAGATGCAAATTATCAGGTATGAACTACAAACTTCAGGTTACTATGAATAATTGTATGCTAGCGGTAAGACGAGACCTTCATTTCTAATCATAATACATATTTATCTGATGATATGCGTGTCTGGTAATAAGCCTACCCACGTCTTTTGTAATTTTAAAGACATGATAGTAAATCTGATATTTTGTGATATCCCCCATGGCAGATCCATAGTTGGGGCTAGGCCTTCATTTTGAATTTAAATTGAACTTTCTCATCATTTTAATTTTTTCTCTTCTTTTTGATTGGGAATGGGAAAATCATTTGCAATCCCCGCCCTCCTAAATACTGCAACCACTACACTGGTATTAACCTTAAAATTTGATAATTGTATTAATTAAACTTTAATCAATTAAAAGGGAAATAATTACCATGCATGAAACTGACACCATCAAGGAAATAAAAAGAAAGAAGATTTATAATGAAATGTTGGTACCTGGAAACAAGTAAGAGTTGATACCTGTGAATATTATATCTGGTATTTTACCACTTGATGACACATGTTGCTGCTGCTGCTGTTGTGGTTGCTGTTGTAAAATATTTTGTTGTTGCTGTGCAGTCTGCTGCTGCTGAAGATTCTGGTATTGCACAGCAGGATTTACTGGATTAACTACACTTTTTTGAGAAATTCGTTCTGAGTCCAATTGGTGTGGAAAGTACTGTTGATGAAGATCCTGATTGCTGCCAGTCAAGCCATGGGTCATAGCCTGTGAAAAGTTTATTGAAGTGTTCTGAGGAGAAGTGTAGATAGCACTGCTCGTTGCTCCGTTGGTCAACAATGAGGAATCAGATGACGATGATATGAAGTGGTTGTCTTGTGACTGAAAATGAAAGAAACAAAATCAGTTAATACACACAATTTTACTAGTTTCTTGATTTTGTTTAAATGTTTTTCATAAAGAACAGTTTAAATCTAAACTATTTCATCTCTCAAATCAACCTGAGTATACCCTGAACAACCAGGTAGACCACTATATAGAAAGAAGGACAATCTACAGCACCAACAGAAATAGGACAATCCACACCACCAACAGAAGTAGGACAATCCACACCACCAACAGATGTAGGACAATCCATACCACCAACAGATGTAGGACAATCCACACCACCAACAGAAGTAGGACAATCCACACCACCAACAGATGTAGGACAATTCACACCACCAACAGAAGTAGGACAATCCACACCACCAACAGATGTATGACAATCCACACCACCAACAGAAGTAGGACAATCCACACCACCAACAGAAGTAGGACAATCCACACCACCAACAGATGTAGGACAATCCACACCACCAACAGATGTAGGACAATCCACACCACCAACAGAAAGACAAATTTATAGTAAGTAGGACAAACTCAAAATTTTCCGACGTGAACGTTGTCTCTCAATAGTAATATTACTTCAGATAGTATTGAGAATTGATATTGAATTGCTTGTACACACCGAATATCATAAATTCCATGCAAGATATCAGCTGCTATTGGACAAACTCACAATAATAACATTACTGGGATTAAGACTAGAAAAAGAAAACCACACACAAGTTTCATGGTTGCTATCAATCTTCATAACGGCAGATATATATTTCTAAATGTTTGTTGCTTCTATTCTACCAAAATTTCTTTCAGTCACTGTCAACATAAATGAAACATACAAAACAAAATGAGTTTTCTAAACCTATCACATTCAATTATCACATTTTACTTCACATTTGACACCATGTATCCACTTTCTTCCATCATAATATTCACATTTATATTCACCTCTCTTTATTCTATTTTACAGAATCATACTCATGTAAATGAGTTTTCAGCTTCCAACTAAGTATGCATTTTCAATATCATCTTTTAATTCTAACTTTCACCTTCACACACCATGACAAAATTTTGAAATCATCTATGAAATGACTTATTATTGGTTTCCGTCACAACTTCTAGAATTCAATATTTTCATAATTTTCCATTTTACTACTATATTAATGTCACCAACCATATACAATTTCTACACTAGTTTACAATTCAAAATAATTTTATTGTATTAATATTTCCCATTCGTAGAGGATATTGAAATTTCTTACCCTATCAATTTTTCTTCTGACCTACAATACTTGCATGTCTTAACATATAATTTTTCTTTTATTTACATTCTAGATCATCTTTAAACATTTCGTAAAATACTCAATTTTTTTCAAAGCTGAAATTATAGTTATACAGCATATTCCGATTTACCTGTGACAATGTGAAAGAAAAGTTAAATTTGATAAATATGTGATAAACTTTCCCTTCCACTTACCATATTGAATTGTTCAAACTGGTGCTGTAGTGCATTGGTCTGCTGCTGCTGTTGTTGATGCTGGTAGTTCTCTGCAAATGGTGAGTTGTTCCAGGAGGTGGGGGGCAGGCCAGGTGACTGTGCCGGAGAGTGAGATGTTTGCGACAAAGGAGATGTGGGTGACTGACAATTAGACTCCGATACATTATTCCTGTACTGTGTTAATGATGGCTGTAATAACAACAAGTACAATTTTATCATTTAAGAGAAGTTAATTTCTAAATGATGTAAATATAATTGTCAGGTATTCAAAACTGAAAGTATCACCCATAACCTTTCTTCCATAAGCACAAAAATCTTAAGCACACTGACCATAAAAAAGTTAAATAGGGCTTAAATAAATTGTTTGGCACATACACTATTAATCTTAGTGTGCAACATTCAGATGAAATACTCAAATGCAATATTTTGGCAATAATAGTTATTGCAAAAAGGAAATCTTTTGCAATGGCGGCAATCTTAGATATATCATTGGGTCAACTTTGTAGACAATGTGGCAGCATATAAAGATCTCAACATTAAGTTTTCATCACTTGTATCAGATCTAAGCAGGAAAAGATTCTGTATATGGAGATTTAAACCAGAAATCCCTGATTCAATGATTAAGTCATTTGCCCTCAACATTTAACAGCATATTGACGAGATTTTTTTTGTCTTTGGCACCGAAGATTCAATGAAGTTCATAAAATATGCCTTGGACAATATGCAACACTTTGAAACAATGTGAAGATATTATAATCTGCTTCTGTAAACAATATAAGTGTCCCGCTTACACATGCTAGGTAAAAGAGAGCTTTCTATTCATTTACAGAAAATAAAGACATCATACATTCAGCTTTTTAAAGAATTTGAAATGATGGGGCAGACAAGGGTAACACTCCCAAATGCTTGAAGGATATATTACAGAAAAGAAATGAATTAACATGGGAAAGAATTCATGATTAACATGACCATTTATGATTGTTCCCGAAGTTATCTGAATAGATAACATTTATAAACGCCTATATACTTTCAAGACAAATGAGATTCCAAACAACAATTATAATACAAGATGCCATTAAGGTTGACACCTAACTCATATATATAAACAAGCATACTGAGTATATCTAGAGCAATACTGGCCCCCACAAGCTAATACACTGTAATGATTTACACAGATAGTGCTGTCTGGTGTTAATTTTGAGAGAAAAAAAAAAGAAAAAGCATACAACTAGTTTGTAATGAAGTGTTGATAATGTTTTTCTTAAAATAGTAATGTTGACCTCGACTTTAAAAATCTGACACTCAAACTGGTTCCAGACATTTTAAAAGTGTATGAAGTTTTAGTGCTAGAGCACTGACAATGATTTTCTAAGAATAATAAGTGACCTTCCCCTTGTCCAAATAGCCCTGAAACTCGACCTTGTCCGACATATATATTTTGATGCTTTATAAGTGTGATAAGTTTTGAAAATTCTTCATGGAATGAAGCCACTAGAGTGATGACAAACTTTGGTGTTATGTACAGATGTACATATACAGACAGATGGACGTATGGATGGAAAAAAAATCTAGTAGTCAGCCTGGTTTCACAAGGAAACTCACAATTATGTATCTATAGTTTTGAAGTCTGAACTTCCAAGACATCTATACGTGTACCTCTTCCTTGTTTTATCAATATACATATTTAAGTAAATACATGGGACACAAGGAAAGAAATCAAACCAAAATTGCTACAGCTCTACACTCACAGGTAGAAAACGTTTACTACAAACAATACATAAATCACTACATTAAGAGAAAAACAAAGAGCATGCATGTTAGAAAAAATTTGTAAGAGAAGTAATCAAACAAGAAACTATTAGTACATTTTCTCAAAGACCCTGGAGATCGAGGATCATGTGTAATGTAATTCTGAAATTATTAGTCTCTTGCCATGAACTGTTCCTTTAAATTTTAATTACAACTGGTATAGGTGTTTCTAGAGAGTTGAAAATAACATTTGTTTACAGTGCATGATAAATGGAGGACGAAAACACAATGACATTCAAAACGCCATTCCAATAGGCCATCACATTCTTTGTCAGGTGGCTTCTCATGAAATCTAAGGGCCCTCATAATATTTGTCTTTGACTTTGGCATGGGAGGACATGACCTTTAACAAGTGTTAAAACATTTATCAATGCCAGGGTTTACTGAAAACCCCTGTTTTAAATATATAATCTATTCAACATCTTTGAAACTGAGCTGATCTCTCTTAATTGAGGCTAGTTAAAGAGTCTTATAATTTGAAGTTTTATTTCATGTAGAAACATTTCAGCCATGTGTAACATTGAAACTTGTTAAGGTCATTTACAAGAGTGAATTAGTAATACAGCCTTTCACCAATGCAAACTACAGAAAAATAAGAGAAATCTCAGGATTAATGCCTTACTACTTCATATTTGATATAGAGGTCAAGTCTAACTGGTTGTATATATGATTTGTCTAACTTCTGCAGGGATGTGGAATGATATGTCTTACCACTGTAGGGATGTGGAATGATATGTCTTACCACTGTAAGGATGTGGAATGATTTGTCTTACTTCTGTGAGGATGTGAAATGATATGTCTTACTTCTGTAATAATGTGGAACATTTGTCTTACTTCTGTAAGGATGTGGAATGATATGTCTTACCACTGTAAGGATGTGGAATGATATGTCCTTCTTCTGTAAGGATGTGGAATGATATGTCTTACTTCTGTAATGATGTGGAACATTTGTCTTACTTCTGTAAGGATGTGGAATGATATGTCTTACTTCTGTGAGGATGTGGAATGATATTTCTTACTTCTGTAAGGATGTGGAATGATATGTCTTACTTCTGTAGGGATGTGGAACATTTGTCTTACTTCTGTGAGGATGTGGAATGATATGTCTTACTTCTGTGAGGATGTGGAATGATATGTCTTACTTCTGTAGGGATGTGGAACATTTGTCTTACTTCTGTGAGGATGTGGAATGATATGTCTTACTTCTGTGAGGATGTGGAATGATATGTCTTACTTCTGTAAGGATGTGGAATGATATGTCTTACCACTGTAAGGATGTGGAATGATATGTCTTACCACTGTAAGGATGTGGAACGATTTGTCTTACTCTTGGAAGGATGTGGAATGATATGTCTTACTTCTGTAAGGATGTGGAACGATTTGTCTTACCACTGTAAGGATGTGGAACGTTTGTCTTACTCTTGGAAGGATAAAGAATGATTTGTCTTTTCCTTGGAAGGACATGGAATAATTTGTTTCATTCTTGTTAAAGTATCAACTGTTTAAGGTACATTGATACTTTGTTTTTAGTTCAGAATCAAATACTTCCATAGTAATGTCTATATACCTGTTCAAGCATCATAAAGGCTTAAACATTAGTTTTCTACATCCACATATCACTAACTAGTTGATACCTGAACCCAATTTCATTTTATCCACATGCACAGGTAAGTAAATGTAAGTGTACACCTTTGAATACCTTTATAGATCTTGTTAGTAGTTACCTGTACCTGAGAATTATTTTGGTCACATGCGGAAGTTATATGGACCTGAGGCACTTGTCGCAGGTTATTGTTGGAGGGGGCAGGGGGGCGGGTGTGCCCTCCTCGTTGCCGCTGCTGCTGCTGCTGGTGTAAGTATAACAGATACTGTTGTTTTAACCGAGGGTCCAAAGAGAGCTTACTTGGGTCGAGATTTGGAACCTAAACATCGTAAAAACAAAAAATAATACACACAACTATGCACAGAACAACAGAAAAGATGCTATGAACAACAATTATAAAGGAATTCATCTTTGCTACTCAACCAAAAATGACACACAGGCTACTGCAACAACACCTCTGCACACAGTCCACATTAGTGGTAATAAAACAGTTCTGTAGAGGAAAGTTGTAGTGGTTTTGGCAGCAGTAAAATTTGGCAGTCTTTAACTAAGATGTGTTACAGATTTACATGACTTGCGATATAACTGTGATTAATATTTCAGTTGTCTTTAAGAATTAAACAAGAGGCCCAAGGGCCTTAACGGTCACCTGAGTCACAATGCTTCTTGTAACATGTCATAGAAATAATTTCATTAAAAAAGTAAGATAACTTTCACTACATTTTACATATAACGCAGATGTAAATTGTGCAAAACAATAACTGCTGTTCCATGCTAAGGCTTCTAACCAAGTTTGAATTAGAAGAAATTACATTCAAAAATTTTCTTATATAAAATTCCTCATCCAGGAACAGTAAAGCATCTTTGAAATTTCAGTCAATTTGACTCATTTTTGGCATTGCCTATCAGTCCCTCAGGGTCAGCTGTGGTCAGTATGTGGTCAGCAAATCAAACTGTCAGTCTAAACTAATAATTCTAACAAAGTCTGAACTATAATAAAAAATAAACAAATTATGCTCAAAAATGTAATTTTCCTATCTAAACTATGGTAAACTTTACCCTTCCCTAGGGGAAAAATGTGAGACCCTGGGGTTATGAAATTTATAATTTTGGAAAAGCCCCATAAGACATTTCAATCCATGAAGAGTATTTGGTTCTACATTATCTGGGAATTGAGAAGACAATCTTTTAAATTTCTGTAAATTTGACTTATTTTTGGCCCCCATTTTTCTGTATAAACTATAGTTAACTTTTTACCCCCTCCCTAGGGGATAATGCAAGACTCACTGGTACATCATCTGAAGGCCTTTCCATTCATGAAGAGTAATTGATTCTACCCTACCAGGAATTTGAGAGGAAGATTTTTGAAGTTTAATCAATTTGATCATTTTGGCCCCATCCTTAGGCCACTTGGGGCCAGGGACTACATAATTTACAATTTTGGTTTGCCTTTAGCCATAGAAGGTTTTAGTAAAATTTCATTGAAGTCAGTTCAGGAGTTTTCTAGAAGTCAAAATGTTTAAAGTTTACTATGAACAAAGCCAGAAAAAAACGGGATCACAATAGGTCAAACAGGTGATCTAATAGCCTGATCAAACAATGCTGAAGAACCCCATTTCATACTGGAAAATCTTCATAAAATACCACATAAAAAGTGTGTTCATATAATTTTCACAACCTAGATAATATTATGGGAAACAATACTAGATATTAAGATTTATATCGCATATTATAACAGGAATATTTAAACTTTAGCATGTGCGTAGTTTTACAAGAAAGACCACCTGGTCCTGATCTTTCTCATTCTCTTCATTGACCTTGACCTGACTTTCCGTTTCAGTGAATTCACACCTTCCCTACTCTTTGTATTCTATGAATTTATAAAGCTGCCATTCCAATCACAATTCTCACCCATTCATGATGTAGTAACAAAAGTCAAGTAAAACTGGAACAAAATAGTACCTACACATAATAACAGCATAGCTGTGTAATACAGCCAAGTCATTCGGAATTAGTATCATACAAAATTTTTATTTCATAAATCTCTTATCACATGTATGTCTGCACAGAGTTCCTTTGACAAATGACCTTTAACAAGTAAAAATTTAAAAACTAGAAACTTTAAAGAAAAATGAAAATTTTAATATGAAATTAATACTGTGATTGATGTATCTGAATAATGCAGCTTGTAGTTTTTGATTGAGTATAAAGGACCAGCACTTCTGTACCAGGAGTTTGTACATCAGACAACATATAGAGCTATCAGTGGTAATTTCTGCAAACCAATCCTTCAAAAGTAACATATGTATCTTAAGGCTTGTTGTTTACAGCTACATGTCCTTGAGAAATGAGTATCTGATGACTGGATCCTTCAATTTGTATTATATTTCTACTCTTCCAATCAACCTTTAAAACTTCTAAAACAATTCAATCATCACACTGTACACTACCACTTATAGCCTCACAAAGGGTACAATAAAACTTAACAAGGGATGGGACATGCAGGGTTAAAAACAGCTTGACATCACTCTACATACAATTTTTTAAAATTTAGAAATATTATTACCATTACAGATAAAATCAAACATAAAGAAATTTCAATTCAATATATTCAAAATTTCTTAAAATTGAAATAATGTATTTAATTTTAAAATACTTTGAATTTTTCATATAATTTTCATTTTTCAAATTTAGTAAAAGCTTTCGTTCTTTGCTTCATCGAGCTGTTACTTAACAGTACAAAAAGCCATGCATTATAAAACAATAAAGGATTTATCACCTACTGATCAACATCTCAAGAACCAAAGCATCATTTCCTGTGAACTGTACTAGCATGTCTTTTCTGATACACAGAAAAAAGAGACTATTTAAATCAGATTATAATCCTCAATTTAACTGAACATATCAGACTCTTTAAATCTAAAGATTATAATCAATTCTAAACGAAAAACAAATTTACAGGAGGAGAGTCAAATTGATAATTTTTCAAACAAATATCATGGATGAAGAATCAAGGGAGGTTACTCTTGATTTTACAGAGATACTATACATGTCACCTGTTCCAGATCAATATTCAAACACACAGGATGTGATGCTTAAGTTTCCATGACAACAGAGATTTGGTTACCAGGGCAAAGTGTAGCCGAGGTGACTTACACTATCGGGCGTAGAATGAGACATCCTCATCTGCTGTGTTGGGGAACCACTGAGTACGAGGGGACTTGGGCCACCATGTTGTAGCCTGCGTCGCTGTACTGGACTCTGAGCCTGGGTACTGGGAGGGCCCATGCCCCCTAGCCTGTGAGCACTAGTGGGGGATAGATTTGCAGGGGCAGAACCTGGGGGTGGCTGCCCCCCAGGATATGACTGGTCCTCTGCATCTAGGGGTGTAGCCAGAGGGGGTGGAAAGTGAAGTACTGTCAGATCAGGCAGTGAGCCAGTGTTGTTGGTGATAGGAACGTGAATGCCAGCCCCTTGGTTTTCCTGCTCCGTTGATGGATATATGCTAGATCCGAAAATACATTTAAACTAAATTCAGAATATTCCTTAACATTAACAATCAATTTATAACAACAGAGGAAGAAAGATACAATTTTTTTAACTACAGTGAAACCTCACCTAACGACCACCTCAAAATTACGACCACCCCGCTATTACGGGCACTTTTTTTCAGTCCCGTTGTTTTTCCACTATATATCTTTGTATTGGTCACTTCAGTATTACGACCACCCCGCTATTCCGTATTACGACCACTTCCTACAGTCCCAAAGACCACTTATTAACGATAATTGACCTCACAATTACGACCACGGTCTGACCAGTGATTTAAGTTTACCTGTTGGGCAGTGAACCGCGAACATGTGTGTCATTCACGACCATTGTTTTCGTCACGGGTTACCGACCCTGTCACCAGGTGGCGTTAAACGAAGTAAACATTATCTGATTAACTTGGCCTACCCGTCCGAAACCGCGTGCTAGACACGTTTTAATAGCGATCTGTTGTTTGTTAATTATATATTGATAGATCGGTAGGTATGCTGTTAAACACCTTAGAAGCCCTGCATACCCAAAAGTGAATTATGAAATCGTTTCGGCCGATATCCCTTGGCTTGCACGCGCACATGTTGTCAAGGGTTTTTAACTGTTTTTGTAGCAATGTTGCAGTCTCGATATCGTTTGAACAATAAAAAAAAGCGTATTTATTCCATTTTTTTTACGACACATTTTCTCTGTCACAAAACTCCTATGAACTTTATCAAGCAAAGACGAAACCACAGAAACGAAACGAGGTATCACTATAAAAGGACGTATGAAAGAGGAGGCTGTCCAGATCCATAGCTCTTCGCAATATTGTGCACTGGACTTTTTTTTAAGTAAAAAGAAAAATGTGTTGTACTGAGTGATACACTGATAAAGATAATGTGTTTGCAAATTTAAGTGAAAAATGAAGCGTTGAAAGACTTTATAGTGACTTCATTAAAGTTGTTACAAATACTGAGTAAATGTGTTCGTAAATTTATGTGAAATAGTTGCAAAATTAACGTTAAATTCCAATTGAACTTAAAATGGATTGTTTGTTTCCTTTTATTCAATGTTTACAATAGTAAATATACATGTATATTATGATATAAACTAAGGAATATATACATCATTATTCTTCTGTCAATTCAGCAATTTTGTCTTTTTACATGCATTTCATAAAATTCAACATTTTAGTTTATTATTATTAGTTATTATTGTTGAATAATATACATGTACATTACTTAATGATATATATACTCTTTATTTTAAACAGAGTTACGGTTCTTTGTGGTCAATCTGATCCACCTCACTATTAAGACCACCTCGCTATTAAGACCACTTTTGTCCAGTCCCCAAAGTGGTCTTAATAGCGAGGTTTCACTGTAATTTCAATTTTATAAAATCAATTTTTTATCAAAATTTATAAATTTTCATTTAAAAACTGATGAACTTAAAAAGATCTTCCCACAAGACAACAGATTAATGGATATAAATACCAACAAGAAATAGATAAATTAATTCACAAACTGATTAATCACTCACTTGATATTTGGCACCTCGCAAGACTTAGGACGTGACTGTGCCACCAACTGTAAAAGTGTATACAGACAAATAACATTTGTTACAGAATCAGCAATAATGGTTCTTACTGAAATATTTAGTAAGATAACAGATGTATTGAATTCCACTATCCCTAAATTAACACACCAGTAGATTTATATGAAAAATTGTAATCAACTTGTTTGATGGCTCAGAAATCTTGTATATGGGACAATAGCTTGTGTCTGACATTGGACAATTTGCTTGTTTATTTCTGACATATCTAGAGCAAAGACTTCCTTAATATAACATTACATGTTTTTTATATTGATTAAGTGACATTGGACAACTTGCTTGTTTATTTCTGAGATATCTAATGCAAAGACTTTAATAGAAAATTACACGTGTTTTATATAAATTAAGAAACTATCAAAAACATAATCAGACTCTTAACTCTTTTTAACGCTTCATTCTGGTGTCTATAGATTACAAACCTTTTTTGGGTCCCAAAATTCTTTCATAAGTGCTCCCCCCTGCATTGCATTTTCTCCAGCTACTTCCATGACTAGACAGAAGAAATGAAAAATATACATCAGAACATTAGAACAATTTAGTCAGTTGTTGGTTAATGGGTGTTTAGTCATCACAGGTGTTGATTGACAGGATGTTTGAGGTCATGATAGCTGTTGGTTGACAGAGGATTTCAATAGTGGAAGTTGTTGGTTGTAATACGATATATGGGGGTGATGATAGTTGTTGTTTGGCAGGATTTAGGGGGTGGTGAGCTGATGATTGACTGGATGGTTGAGGTTATGACAACTGTTGGTTGAGAGAGTGTTATGGGTAGTGAGAGCTGTTGGTTGACATGGTGTTTGGGGTGGTCACAGTTGTTAGTTTACAAGGTGTTTTGGGTAATGAGAGTTGTTGGTTGAAAAGGTATTTGAGGTCTGTTGAGTTGTGATAGGTTCTACAGGTGTTTGTTGACACATCAAGCAATTACTTACGTCGTCTGTTTACAGGGGGCGTGGTGGCACCATGCATGTGATCACCCAAGTCACTTATTGGAGCCATGGCACTGGTATGGAGGGCAGAATCAGAGTTTGTTCTACAACAGCAAATTATCCAGTAAACCATCAATATCAACGGTTAAGTTACCAGTGAAAATAAAACTTGTACATTTTAGAACCTGAAACAGTAAGAAAATTGTAAACATGTTGATGTAATTATTAACAATTTATAAGAATAACTCTCATCTTAACCTTAGATTTTTTCATACTTTAGTTAGTACAGATAAAAATTTTCATACGTATGATCATTAGTCGATTAAGATGTCATTTGTAAGTTTAATTTTGATTACATTGACATATTTATAGTGATTTTTTTCATATAAAATTTTGAGTACTTTTTTGCCTACTTTACACAAACATTTTTATCATAGACAGTGAAGTATAGAGAAAGATCTAAGCAGTATTCCAGCACAAAGGATTTAATATTTTACAGAAAGAAGTATGTACATTTTTTTGTTCATGTATTTAGGTATTTGCTAGTTATAAGGACAACTGAAATGAATCGTTTCATTCAGGCATTCTCCAATAGAAATACAACTACCAAGTATTCATATAAAGGGTCTTCCCATTCACAACTCTATCAGGTCTACCTGCAAACTAGAATATATGAATAATATGGCTATTACCCAGGTCTATAGCAACTGTTATTACCAAGGACTACATAGGGGGTAGAGAAACCCTTATTATCCAGGTCAACATATGGGATAAGGCAACTGTTATTACCCAGGTCTACACATGACATAAGGCAACTGTTATTACCAAGGTCTACACATGACATAAGGCAACTGTTATTACCAAGGTCTACACATGACATAAGGCAACTGTTATTACCCAGGTCTACACATGACATAAGGCAACTGTTATTACCAAGGTCTACACATGACATAAGGCAACTGTTATTACCAAGGTCTACACATGACATAAGGCAACTGTTATTACCCAGGTCTACACATGACATAAGGCAACTGTTATTACCAAGGTCTACACATGACATAAGGCAACTGTTATTACCAAGGTCTACACATGACATAAGGCAACTGTTATTACCAAGGTCTACACATGACATAAGGCAACTGTTAATACCAAGGTCTACACATGACATAAGGCAACTGTTATTACCCAGGTCTACACATGACATAAGGCAACTGTTATTACCAAGGTCTACACATGACATAAGGCAACTGTTATTACCAAGGTCTACACATGACATAAGGCAACTGTTATAATCCAGGTCTACACATGACATAAGACAACTGTTATTACCAAGGTCTACACATGACATAAGTCAACTGTTATTACCAAGGTCTACACATGACATAAGGCAACTGTTATTACCCAGGTCTACACATGACATAAGGCAACTGTTATTACCCAGGTCTACACATGACATAAGGAAACTGTTATTACCAAGGTCTACACATGACATAAGGCAACTGTTATTACCCAGGTCTACACATGACATAAGGCAACTGTTATTACCCAGGTCTACACATGACATAAGGCAACTTATTATCCAGGTCTACACATGACATAAGGGAACTGTTATTACCCAGGTTTACACATGACATAAGGCAAGTGTTATTACCCAGGTCTACACATGACATAAGGCAACTGTTATAATCCAGGTCTATACATTACATAAGACAACTGTTATTACCAAGGTCTACACATGACATAAGGCAACTGTTATTACCAAGGTCTACACATGACATAAGGCAACTGTTATTACCCAGGTCTACACATGACATAAGGCAACTGTTATAATCCAGGTCTATACATGACATAAGGCAACTGTTATAATCCAGGTCTACACATGACATAAGGCAACTGTTATTACCAAGGTCTACACATGACATAAGGCAACTGTTATTACCAAGGTCTACACATGACATAGGGCAACTGTTATTACCAAGGTCTACATATGACATAAGGCAACTGTTATTACCAAGGTCTACACATGACATAAGGCAACTGTTATTACCAAGGTCTACACATGACATAAGGCAACTGTTATTACCAAGGTCTACACATGACATAAGGCAACTGTTATAATCCAGGTCTATACATGACATAAGGCAACTGTTATTACCAAGGTCTATACATGACATAAGACAACTGTTATAATCCAGGTCTACACATGACATAAGGCAACTGTTATTACCAAGGTCTACACATGACATAAGGCAACTGTTATAATCCAGGTCTATACATGACATAAGACAACTGTTATAATCCAGGTCTGCACATGACATAAGGCAACTTTTATTACCCAGGTCTACACATGACATAAGGCAACTGTTATTATCAAGGTCTTCACATGACATAAGGCAACTGTTATAACCCAGGTCTACACATGACATAAGGCAACTGTTATTACCAAGGTCTACACATGACATAAGGCAACTGTTATTACCAAGGTCTACACATGACATAAGGCAACTGTTATAATCCAGGTCTATACATGACATAAGGCAACTGTTATTACCAAGGTCTACACATGACATAAGGCAACTGTTATTACCAAGGTCTACACATGACATAAGGCAAGTGTTATAATCCAGGTCTATACATGACATAAGGCAACTGTTGTAATCCAGGTCTACACATGACATAAGGCAACTGTTATTAACAAGGTCTACACATGACATTAGGCAACTGTTATTACCAAGGTCTACACATGACATAAGGCAACTGTTATTACCAAGGTCTACACATGACATAAGGCAACTGTTATTACCAAGGTCTACACATGACATAAGGCAACTGTTATTACCAAGGTCTACACATGACATAAGGCAAGTGTTATTACCCAGGTCTACATATGACATAAGGCAACTGTTATAATCCAGGTCTATACATTACATAAGACAACTGTTATTACCAAGGTCTACACATGACATAAGGCAAGTGTTATTACCCAGGTCTACACATGACATAAGGCAACTGTTATAATCCAGGTCTATACATGACATAAGGCAACTGTTATAATCCAGGTCTACACATGACATAAGGCAACTGTTATTACCAAGGTCTACACATGACATAAGGCAACTGTTATTACCAAGGTCTACACATGACATAAGGCAACTGTTATTACCAAGGTCTACATATGACATAAGGCAACTGTTATTACCAAGGTCTACACATGACATAAGGCAACTGTTATTACCAAGATCTACACATGACATAAGGCAACTGTTATTACCAAGGTCAACACATGACATAAGGCAACTGTTATAATCCAGGTCTATACATGACATAAGGCAACTGTTATTACCAAGGTCTATACATGACATAAGACAACTGTTATAATCCAGGTCTACACATGACATAAGGCAACTGTTATTACCAAGGTCTACACATGACATAAGGCAACTGTTATAATCCAGGTCTATACATGACATAAGACAACTGTTATAATCCAGGTCTGCACATGACATAAGGCAACTGTTATTACCCAGGTCTACACATGACATAAGGCAACTGTTATTATCAAGGTCTTCACATGACATAAGGCAACTGTTATCACCCAGGTCTACACATGACATAAGGCAACTGTTATTACCCAGGTCTACACATGACATAAGGCAACTGTTATTATCAAGGTCTTCACATGACATAAGGCAACTGTTATCACCCAGGTCTACACATGACATAAGGCAACTGTTATTACCAAGGTCTACACATGACATAAGGCAACTGTTATTACCAAGGTCTACACATGACATAAGTCAACTGTTATTATCAAGGTCTTCACATGACATAAGTCAACTGTTATTACCCAGGTCTACACATGACATAAGACAACTGTTATTATCAAGGTCTTCACATGGCATAAGGCAACTGTTATAATCCAGGTCTATACATGACATAGGCAACTGTTATTACCAAGGTCTACACATGACATAAGACAACTGTTATTACCCAGGTCTATACATGACATAAGGCAACTGTTATAATCCAGGTCTACACATGACATAAGACAACTGTTATTACCAAGGTCTACACATGACATAAGGCAACTGTTATAATCCAGGTCTATACATTACATAAGGCAACTGTTATAATCCAGGTCTATACATGACATAGGCAACTGTTATTACCAAGGTCTACACATGACATAAGGCAACTGTTATTACCCAGGTCTATACATGACATAAGGCAACTGTTATAATCCAGGTCTATACATGACATAAGGCAACTGTTATAATCCAGGTCTACACATGACATAAGACAACTGTTATTACCAAGGTCTACACATGACATAAGGCAACTGTTACAATCCAGGTCTATACATGACATAAGGCAACTGTTATTACCAAGGTCTACACATAGGGGACTAAGTAAATATTATTAAGGTCCACACAAAGGCTAGTGTAAATATTATTATTTCTGTCTACAAAAGGGTAACAGTAAAGGTGATCTAGGTATACACAGTATGTTGAGTAAATATTATTTTGGTCTACAAAAGGGAAAGAGGTAATGCTGTCATCTAGATTAACATGAAGGTCATCTGACATTATTGGCAGTTTTTACAGCCAGAGCATCATAATTTCTATCCTATTAGACATAAGGATCATTTATATTGTTCTAAACATGATGACATTCACATTTTAGATATTGATCACGTTGTTAAAAAATGATGACACTGACATTTTATATATTTATCAGTTTGTTCTAGACACGATGACATTGACATTTAAGACATTTTTTTCAGAAATTATGAAAATAACATTTTAAATATTGATTGCTTTAAATTTGTGTAATTATGATATTGACATTTCTGATATTAGCAAATGATCTTAATGTACCTGGTAAAATTGTAAATTAACAATTTAACACAGCATAATTTATAACGTCTCATGGGCAAGTTGAGAAAACAATTGAAAAAGGAATTGTTAAAACTGTCTGTACTGTGCACACCATAATAGAGACACAATATTACACCGAACCCTCGCCTTTTATTCCTGCAGGCTCTATATAGATTAGCTTTGATGTTTTCGGCACCATCTTCTAACACTCACGTATTGATGTTTCT